TCGCCCGGCTGCAGCGGCGTAGCGTACACACAACAACGCGCCGCTACGTACTCTGCCTCGCACGTAGATAGCGCCACCATCTTCTGTTTAAGCGACATCCATGAAATTGGGGCTGACCCGAGGAAGACGAGCACGCCAGAGGTGCTCCGTCGTCCGTTGATGTCCCCCGCCATGTCTGCATCGCTGAATACCGTGAGCTGCAGCCTACTCCCTCCGGTCTTTGGGAAGATGATTCCATGATTCACCGTCCCCTTGACGTAGCGTAGTAGCCGCTTCACCACAGCCTAGTGATCCTCTCTGGGATCCTCCATGAAGCGACTGACGTAGCCCACGGCGAACGCAATGTCCGGCCTCGTGTGAACTAGATAGCGCAGACCGCCGACGATGCTCCGGTAGAGTGTTGCATCCACCTTCGCCACAGTGTTGGCCTTCGTCAGCTTCAGCCGCTCCTCCATCGGAGTCACGCATGGCTTGCACTCCACCATACCGCTCCTCTCCAACAGCTTGGAGGCATACGCGCTTTGCTCGAGCGTGAGTTCCTCCTTCCCCTGTCTCACCTCGATGCCGAGGTAGTAGAAGAGAGCGCCGAGATCGCTCATTCGGAAACGAGCTGCCATCTCTCGCTTGAAGCTGTTGATATCCTCCGTGCGCGCGCCGGTGATGATTAAGTCATCCACATACACGCCGACCACGAGCTCTTCCTTCCCCCATCGTCGTGTGTAGAGCGCGTGCTCGGTTGCGCACCTTTGAAACCCAAGTTCGCCCATCGTGGCGTCAAGCTTGGCGTTCCATGCTCGAGGGGCTTACCGTAGCCCGTAGAGCGCTTTGCGTAGTCAGAGCACTCTGTGCTCCTCTCCCTTGACAGCGAACCCTGGAGGTTGCCTGACGAAGACCGTTTCCGCCAGCTCGCCGTTGAGGAAGGCCGATTTAACGTCCAAGTGATGGACGCGCCAGTCCTTTGCTGCCGCCAAAGCAAGTAGCAAACGGGCCGACTCCATGCGCGCTACTGGCGCAAAGACCTTCTTGAAGTTGATGCCCTCGCGCTGGACAAAGCCTCGGGCGATGAGGCGTGCCTTGTGCTTGACAATGGCGCCGAGCTCGTCCCTTTTGACTTTGTACACCCACTTCAGGCTGATCGGACGGCATCCTAGAGGTGGATCGACGAGCTGCCAAGTCTCGTTTTCTTCGATCGCCTTCATCTCCTCCAGCATCGCCCGTTGCCAGTTTCCATTGCGCTCAGCTAGTGCGAACGTGGGTGGTTCCTCTACGCTGACGAGTAGCAGCTCTGCGTCGTTGAGCAGCCTACCCGCCAGACCTGAGGGACCTGTGCCACCGATGATGTCGTCCAGCCTGCGGAACCTCAACTCCTCACCTTCGTGGTAGGCGTCCACGAACTCAGTGATGTCACTTGGAGGTGAGGTGAACTTGATTGGGAGTGATGGAGTTCCTTCTTTCGCTGGAGTGCCCTGCATAGCACCCGAAGTGCTCGGCACTACTTCTGGACTGCTCGTCATAACTCCTGCAGTGTTCGGCCACACTGTAGGAGTGCCTAGCCTCAGTCTTGGAGTGGTTGGGACCACAATAAGATGTCTTGGCTCTGCCACGGGAGTGCTCGGCACCCGTCCTGAAGTGGTCACCACCACTGCAGAACCTCCTGGCTCCACTCCTGGCGTGCTCGGCATCCCTCCAAAAGTACTCGACACTCCTCCCGGAGTGCTCGGCATCCCTCCTGAAGTGCTCGGCACTGCCCCAGAAGTGCTCGACTCTACCGCCGAAGTGCTCGGTGCTCCTCCCGGAGTGCATGGCACCTGTTCCGCAGCGTCTTCACCGCCGTGGATGACCAAGTGCTCGATGACGAAGGTGTTGGGGAAGCCTCCTGCTTCCCCCGTGCTCGGACTGTTCCAGTCCCAAGCCACCTCCTCGTTGAACACAACATCGCGCGAGACAGTCACCTTGTCTCCGCATGGGTCATAGAGCCGGTACGCCTTGGTACCCTCCGCGTAGCCCAGGAACACCATGGGGTGTGCTCCTGTCCTCCAGCTTGGTGAGGTTCGGCTTTGTCTTCCTGACGTGGCCGATGCAACCGAATGTCCGGAGGAATGACACGTTCGGCTTGCTCCCGTACCAAGCTTCGAACGGCGTCTTGCCCGTTAGGGCCTTGGTTGGAGCGCAGTTGAGGATGAACACCACCGTGGTCACCGCCTCTCCCCAGAATTTTGTCGGCATCCCTTTGGCCTTCATCATGGATTGGGCCATGCCGACCACTATCTGGTTCCGTAGCTCCACCACGCCATTCTGTTGTGGCGAGTACGATGCGGTGTGATGTTGTCCCACACCCTGATCCGCGTAGTACGTAGCAAACTCCACTAAAGTGAATTCACCACCCCGATCAGTCCTCAGTACGCGGAGCTTCTTGCTGCTCTCGGCCTCCGCGCGTGTCTTGAACTTCTTGATCGCCACTGCCGCTTTGTCCTTGCTCGTTAGGAGTTGCAGCCACATGTAGCGACTGCAATCATCCACGAGTAGGAGGAAGTACCGCCGACCACCGCATGTAGCAGGCGTGATCGGCCCACAGAGGTCGCCGTGAACTAGCTCGAGAGCTTCCTTCGCGCGATACTTGGCCGCCTTTGGGAAAGGTAGCCTCCTCTGCTTCCCGGCTAGGCAGTTGTCACACAGCTCGCCTCCGTGTTTGATGTGGGGTAGCCCTCGAACCATCTTCCCAAGCCGACCAAGCGCGTCAAAGCGGAGATGTCCGAACCGGGCATGCCACATCCACGGTTTCTCAGAGTGCCTTGCCGCCAGGCAAACCGGCTGCTCTACCTCCAGGTCGAGCAGGTACAACCGGTTTAGGGACCTCTTCACCTTGGCGAGAAGTCGCTGCTCCCGGTCTCTGATCCTCAGAACGCCGTCCTTGATTAGAACCTCGCTACCATGCTCATCCAGCTGACCAATGCTAATGATGCTGGAACGCAGCTGCGGGATGTAGTATACATCCGTTAGCGCGCGGTGCTCCCCGTTCTGGCATCTGAAGATGATGGTGCCGCGCTCTTGGATAGCCACCCTTGAGCCGTCACCAAACTTCACCGTATCGGTAACATCGCCGTCGAGCTCGAAGAAGGAGTCCTTGGAGCCCGTCATGTGGTTACTGACACCAGAGTCCAGATACCACCGCTGCTCCTGGTCGACGCCCACACGCCCGAGGTGAACTTGGGCGCGTGGTTCGTCGAGGTTGACGATCTTCAGGGCCTTCCTAGGTCCTTCCATCGTCGTTGCCTCTTCCCTCTCTATGGCCTCGACGTCGTGTAGTGCATAGAACGTCGCCATAAGGATAGTGGCCTCATCCTCATCATCGGCTTTCGCCAGGTGAGCCTGAGCCTTCTTTTCCTTCTTGCGATTTGGGCACTCCCATGCCTAATAGCCTATCTTCCCGCAACACCGACAGACGTTGGAGTCGATGTGCTTCTTCTCCGAAGAAGCCTTGTCTCGGTGCTTGCCCTTGCCACCGCGACTGGAGGAGGCTGCCTTCCCAGAGTTTCGCCGAGCAGCCCACTCCTCTTCCGTCAGTAGGAGTTTCCCGCTGTCCTTCGTTGCAGTCGCCTGCCCCAGGCGCTCGTCCACCGCCCGCAGACGGCCTGCCACATCCTCAATGGTGAGGGTGGACAAGTCCAGCATCGTCTCTATGGAGAGAGCAATCTGGATGTACTTTGCCGGCACGGAGTGGAGGAACTTGGAGACCGCCTCCTCTTCATCGATGGTGACGCCGTGGCTCTTCAGCTTGCTGATGAGCGTCTGCAGGCGAAGGGAAAAGTCTTCCACTGTTTCACCATCCTTGAACTTGAGGTTTGCGTACTCCTGCTTCAGAAGCTGGGCCGTCGCCTTCTTTGCGCGGTCGAAACCGACGCGCATCGCCGCAATGGCCTCCCACGCCTCCTTAGCTGAGCCTTTCATCCCCAACGGTTCCCTGTACTCCACCGGTACAGCAGCAAGGATAGCCTCCAACGCTGACATATCGTCTTCTTCCACGTCGGTGCCCTTGTCAACAGCATTCCAGAGCCGTCGGGCTCTGAGCTTGACCTTCATGGTCACCGACCACTCTCCATAGTTAGTGCGAGTCAGCGTCGGCCAAGTGGTGCCGCTGACCTCCCGCACCGTGCGAACAACTACATCCGGTAGTGGCTGGGCAGCCACGACAGTGCCACTGCCGTCGCCCAACTCCGAACCGCCTGTCATCACCATTGGTTAGAATGACGACGGCGCTTGTACGGCTCCGATACCACTTGTTGGCCCACAGTTAGCCTCCCGACCACCGAGATGGCCTCCAGACCACTCCGTTGGTCTCACAGGATCACCGGCTCACGACAGTGAACCACTCCAGCCGATCTTGCCGAGCACCGGCTCAGGCGAGTGGAGCACTTGACGGTCTCGCTGAGCACGCGCTAGTGTTGCCGAGCACCCACTAGCCGTGCAGACCACGTACCGGCGTTGTCCATACCCACACACTACGGACGAGCTTAGAAGAAGAAGGGAGAACAGAGCAAGCACGCACAATACAAGACAACAGCGTTGGCCGAGGTCCTGTCTGTGTGATGGCAAATCTGAGCTCTCTTTACTGAGTTGCCATACATGTCTATTTATACAACTCTAACTATCTAGTCCATGTGCAGCGCCCATGCTGGCACAGTAACTAGATAACCTGACAGGGCTGACTCTGCGCCGGCCACTGCCTGTTCCTACAGTGCTGCAGGTGAGCCGTGCGGCGCCTGCACCTGCAGCGGCTACTGTATCACAGCAGGGGGCAAAGTCGGCGCCGCCTTCCCTTGCTGTGTTCACACACAGCAGGCGGCTAAGTCGGCGCCGTCTTCTTCTCCTATGTTCACACAAGGTGGCAGTAGATTAGCTAACATATGTATCCATTTATGAAAGCAGCTGTGTTTGTTCCTCTCCCAAAGTATCACGGACCTTTCTTATGTCTGTTTCTTTATTTTTTCTGCATTGTTGTCATGGTTGATGAGGCTCACGAGCGCACCCTCTCTACTGATATCTTATTTGGTCTGGTGAAGGTTAGCTAGCTTGATGTATTGCAACTATATTTGATACAAACTCAAAATGTTACCATGTACATTAATATGGTTTTCCTGCCTTCAGGATATTTCTTGTTTTCCACCAGACCTGAAGTTGCTCATTTCTAGTGCCACCCTTGATGCAGAAAAATTTAGTGACTACTTCGATTCAGCTCCTATTTTCAAGATACCTGGGAGGCGGTACCCGGTTGAAATTCATTATACAAAAGCCCCAGAGGCTGATTACATAGATGCAGCAATTGTCACTGTTTTACAGATACATGTGACACAACCCCCTGGAGATATCCTGGTGTTTCTCACAGGTCAGGAGAAATTGAAACAGTTGATGAAATCCTTAAACACAGAACAAGGGGCTTAGGCACCAAAATTTCAGAATTAATTATATGCCCTATTTATGCAAATCTACCTACCGAGCTTCAAGCTAAGATATTTGAGCCAACCCCCGAGGGTGCCCGTAAGGTGGTTCTGGCCACTAATATAGCATAGACTTCATTAACCATTGATGGTATAAAATATGTTATTGATCCAGGCTTTTGTAAGATCAAATCATACAATCCCCGCACTGGAATGGAATCTCTACTTATTAATCCTATCTCAAAAGCTTCAGCAAACCAGAGGGCAGGAAGATCTGGACGCACTGGACCCGGAAAATGCTTCCGTCTATACACGAGTTATAACTACATGCACGACCTAGAAGATAATACTGTTCCGGAGATCCAACGAACCAATCTTGCGAATGTTGTGCTTACACTCAAGAGTCTTGGTATTCATGACTTGGTTAATTTTGACTTCATGGATCCACCTCCATCAGAAGCCCTATTAAGGGCTCTGGAACAACTTTTTGCTCTCAGTGCACTCAACAGTCGTGGAGAGTTGACAAAGACTGGAAGAAGAATGGCAGAATTTCCACTGGATCCTATGTTGTCGAAGATGATTGTTGCTTCAGAGAAATACAAGTGTTCTGACGAGATCTTCTCCGTTGCATCCATGCTGTCAATTGGCAATTCTATATTTTATCGTCCGAAGGACAAACAAGTTCATGCAGATAATGCAAGGTTGAACTTCCACACTGGCAATGTTGGGGACCATATAGCACTACTAAATGTATGATTCCCTGCCTGTTTACTTTTGTAAGCACACACACACGCACACACCTTTTATATGGTCAGTGCTAACTTATTCTTGCAGGTGTATAATTCTTGGAAAGAAACAGACAATTCAACTCAATGGTGTTACGAAAACTATATACAGGTATTTACTTGCTCGTACTTATTATCCTCAGGGTTAATTTCTTGGCCTGAAAAAGCTCTTGTTATCTGATCAGCCAGTAAACGTCCTCTTTTATTATTATTTTTCATATTTTCTCAGAAGGTATATTTGTACATAAGAAATGGAAAATGGTGGGGATGACTTAGATATTGTAAACAAAGTATTGATGAAATAGGATGGAGACCTCACCTGCTGTAAGCGCATTATTGAAATTTGATTGTTGGTCCCTTGAAAAAAACTTGCTTTTAATGTTTGCTATACCCAAAAAATCCTGTGACCACTGGTTAGTTAATGGTTTTTGTTTCCTTGACCTCAACAGTACGTGCTGCTTATATTCTCTGCTTATGGGCTCAACTTTCACTAGGCTGTCTTGTAACATTCTTGCGAATTTCAACTATATTTGTCTGAATACCCTCTTCCCAATACACATCATGGGTCATGAACATTGAATTACCGTGAAAAGAAATATTTGTTACTCATGTAGGAGTATTATATTCCAAAACCTTGATTCCCAAAAACCCAATGTGAAATTCTTTAAAAGTGTGAGTGGAATCAAAATTCTATAATATCTAATTAGATATGAGTGGAATCAGCAACCAGCTGCATACTATCTTATTGTGTCTTAGGTTCATAAGCTACGCTAATGTTCATCAAAAAGATCTCGCTACTGCTAGAAGATGTGAATTTGAGACAATTCCATTAGAGTGTTTTAGAGTGGGGTTACACATATAAAGTTTTCTTGGTGTTTCAACGCTGCCGAGAGGTTCAAGATCCATGACGCACTAGATACGTTGTTCAATTACTACTACATCTACTGTTACGCTATAGTATTTCTATGGGCTTCTTCACAACACTAACATACTAACAGTCATCAACATTCTGTTTTTTATAGCGCTTTAGATGCTTGTGCCTGTAGTTGTAGCTGTAATGTTCTAATACCTAAGTTATATATTTGAACTTTTATAATCTTGGTTAGTGTACATAGCATCCACTGGAGTACATATCAAAGGACATTTATTGTTTTTAGCAATCAGCCTTGTAACAGAATTCATCTTTACACATTAGTTAAAAAATATCTGTTGATCCTTGATTCTGCAAATTTATGTGGTAAAATTATCATTGGATAATTCAGGTGCACAGCATGAAGAGGGCAAGAGATATTCAGGATCAACTAGAGGGGCTTATGGAAAGAGTTGAGATTGAGATTTGCTCAAATGCCAGTGATTTATATGCTATTAAAAAAGCTATTACATCGGGTATGAGCTTTTTGGGTATTCTTCAGTGCTTTCTAACAATGATGCAATTGCTTCGTGTGTGCTGTAGGTTTCTTCCATCATTCTGCACGGTTGCAGAGGGATGGTACATATAAGACTGTCAAGAACCCTCAGACCGTACATATCCATCCTAGTTCAGGATTAGCGGAGGCAAGTTCATTTGATTGTACATCGTCTCATTTTCATAGCATTCATAATTCTACCTTTTCTTCTGCGACTTTTAGTTAGTGTTAAGTGCTTATATATGCTATATGCAGATACGTCCGCGGTGGGTAGTATACCACGAATTAGTTCTCACAACAAAAGAGTTTATGCGCCAGGTATGCCCTGTTATTCAGAATCTCATTAAGACCTGTAGGAGAATTTGTTGTATATCGATGTGACAATTGACATACTGTGGCACTGCAGGTGACGGAACTGAAGCCTGAATGGCTGGTAGAGATAGCACCACATTATTACCAACTAAAGGACGTGGAAGACTGTAAGTCTTGATTGTGATGCCATTAATCGCTCAACCTAGTTTTTGTTGTATGAACTATGGCTTAAATGCCTCTTCCTTTCTCCTGCACAGCTGGAACAAAGAAGCTACCAAAGGGCCAAGGACGAGCTGCATTGTAGCTAGGATAGGACCCATGGATGTTTTGCGTTGGACTCAGCCTAGGACCATCAGGCTCTGAGTGAAGATGTATATAACTCCTTATATTGCAAACAGGATAGATGATGTCACTATTCATTGTCCTGCTTAGGTTTCAGAGTAGCTGATTGTTCATGTAAATTATGACATGAAGACATCATGTGAACCGCTATAATTGTCATACTAGAGGGGGCGCTGGCATACGGCGTTTGGGGTTGCTAGCCGCCATGATGGACTATTGTCTATCCGCCTTGCCTCACTGGCCTCTTGGGTAGGGAGTAGGGTGGACAAGGGCTTATCCCGGCAAGGATAAATTTAGGATGAATATCGGATTTTTCCTAGAATATGGGATTATGCAAAAACATAAGTTGTGAATCTTTCTATAAATGGGCTGGTCATGTTGGAAAAAATGGATGGGCGTGGCTACCCCTGCGCAGCCTACCCCCATCTGCCTTCGCCTTGACCCCTCTTTCGCTCTGCCCACATGTGCACTTAACCCTGTCTCTGTGCCTGCTGGTCGCATCTGACCCCCTCCTCTCTCTCCGCGTGGGCAACACACGCCAGGATGCAGCTGAGGACGAGCACGCCTGACTGTAGCACCACCGTTTGCCGGCCTCCAGCGGTCGTTTGAAAATAGATTTGAAACATGAAAAACATTTGAATGTAACATGAAAAACATTTGAAAGCAACAACGCGCACTTGCAACATGTGTGTGAAACACATGAAACATATAGATTTGCAACTTGCAACGTGAAACCACTTGCTGCAACATAAGATTGAAACAGCTAAAACATTTGGGACATACTGTTGCAACATATGTAACATCCAGATAAAAAAAGATTGCAACAGACGTTTGGAAACAGATGAATGCAACATGCCTCTAAAACACTTGCAACATGTGCAACATCCCCCTATCTACTTTTGCAACATCAAGACGAAATAATTGCAACATACATCTGAAACGTCTCAAGTATGCAACATAGGGGATGCAAGGTCAGGCCAGTCGATTCTCGCTGTCAGGGTGGGAACCGGCGCGCGAGTACCACCAGCACCGGCCATGCTTGTGGGTCCCTTGGCTTGGCTGGGGAAGACCTGAGGCGCCATGGCACGTGTGCCCCCGCGGCCATGGCGGGATCAGCGGCACGCTCAACGGCGATGGGCGACGGATGAACTGCGAGGGAGCGGGCGACGTAGGTGAGCAAGGGTGTGCGACGCTGCCGGCGATGGGAAAAGGAAACGGCGTGGCAGCCTGACGAGCGCACGCTGGAGAAGGGGCGGACGGATGAGCAGCCACGCTACTTTGAGGCTGGGCGGATACGCACGAAGGAGTGGTGTGTGGGCTTGGGGGAACAAGCGGATAAGCACAAGGGAATGTGCTTTTGTTTTTTATTTGGGACCCGCTCCTGAGGAGCCACATCCGGACGCAGTCATGGATGGACGCCCTACAGGAAGTGTTTCTGAAAATGGATGGGTTAGAATGAAATCGTTAGTTTTTGAATCTGAAGAATTCAGTTACGGTCCATTAACCTGTTTGGTTTACGGTGTTTGTTTGCTTAGGCAATGTTCCCATGCGTTGGATCCTTGAATGTCTAGCAAGCAGTCCCTAGGCCAAGGTGGCAACCTAAAAAGCCGTTTTAGTGCTTGCTGGAGCTGTCTAGTTTTGGTATCATGGCCTAGTGTGTGGAATTTGCATGCTTGGCCTACAACCTAGCTCAGTTGCGATCCTGCTAATGGGGTTAAACCTACCCAAAACCCACACCGCCCTATAGTTTTAAGATTGCACAGTATGCTCATTAAAAGATAAATTTATTGTAGAGTATTCATGAATATTTGTGAGTGCTGGAGGCTTGAGGAAATAAATGGGCCTGTTGGATGTGAGGGCTTAGAAGTTAATTTATTCTAGGACAAATTTTCTGTATAAAAATCTATTCTTTTAATGACAAAGGGAGTATATAACTATATATATAGAGGGTTCACTCTATAATATAAGAAATACTTTCTATGGTCCTTTTAAGTGTCGTTTTCACATATCATGAGTTAAATATATTCAACTTTGACCAATATATATAAGAGATTACTATTTATGGTGCGTAATAAGTATCATTTAATTAATCATTGAATATTTTTTATAATACACTTATTTAGAGATGCACATGTTACTAATATTTTCTATTAGATCCTGTTAAGAAGGTTTGACATACACATAAATCTAGGTGTGTCGACAGAATATCGTCGGCAGTCCTCCGAGGGGTATCCCACGAAGGTAGATTGATCGGCAGAGGAGCGTGAGATCAAGAACAAGAAGGCAACAAAACACACAAGTTAGACAGGTTTAGCCGTCAGAATGATGTAATACCCTACTCCTGTGGTCTGTTGATTTGTATTAGCTATCATATGATATTGCGTGAGTTTGGAGGGGGTCCCTGCCCGCCTTATATAGTCCGGGGAGCAGGGTTACAAGTCGGTTAGATCTAACAGATAACCGAAAAGTAATAACTGATTACAGGAATCTTGGAATCATACATATCCTAACAGATCTCGTAGTATCTTCAGAATATCTTCCAGACGTCTTGCGGGAGCCACCGAGCAGAGTCGTGCCCCGCAAGGCATCGTCTTGTGGGCTGGACCGCCCTTGAGGGCGCAGCCCATGTGGTCTGCCGTGGGTATCCGGGGTCATACCCCCCACAGCTAGTCCTCGAGCGCCTTGTACCTGTTGTGCAACGCCGTCTTGAGCTTGTCCGAGCAGGTGCGAACAAAGCTGAGCAGTCGAACTCATGGTCCGACCACCGTGATGAGTTGCCGAGCAGTTGTGAGCAAATACCGAGTAACGTGTACTGTTACCGAGCAGCACGAACCATAGCCGAGCAGGATAACCCAAGCACGGCTTGCCATAAGGGTGTAAGGAGCTCAAGTCCAGAATCAAAAATTTCTTCACAGTGGACCAAGTGTGCCCACTTAGAGTCCGACCACGAGAGAAGGAATTAGTCTTGTTCAGCTTCGAGAGGCACAGAGTCTTCCAGAAAAAAGCAAGCACATTCACCGCGAGGTGAAGTGTGCCCACTTAGTCCCCGAGCCTGACAGTAGATGACGTAGTCATTTGGTGCCAGGGTCCAAAGTAGAAGAATAGAAGACCAGCCGAGCAGGCAGCCAGTCCCCGGGCGTAGACCCGAAAAGCACATTCACCGGAAGGTGAAGTGTGCCCACTTAGTCCCCGAGCCTGACAGTAGGTGACAGAGTCACATGGTGCTAGGGTCAGAAACAGAGAAATAGTGAAAAACCAGCCGAGCAGGCAGCCAGTCCCTGAGCCGCAAGCGGAGATATCGAAGGAATCCAACCATGGAGAAAAAACCGGAGGAATGGCTGTACAGTAACGATTACTGAGCCTCAATAAATGGTGGAGAAATCGGCGATTATTCAGCGAATAACAACTTACAGCGGCGATAAATGAGCGACGTGGGCTGCAGACGCGTGAAAGCCCATGTAACGGCCCATAAGCCGCGTCGGAGAATTCAGAGAGGCGCAAATCGCGGGAACGGTTTCCCAAAAACCCTCGATTGTGAAACAGTTGACGTATTGTTTTTAACTGCGCCGCCGCACCCCACGCCCCCCATCTTTGGCATTTCGCCCTTTCATCTTCCTTCCCAGCTCTTGCGCTTCCCGTTCCGCATCGACGCACACACCTGCCTCCAATCTCAAACCAGATCTGGGAGAATGGCGCCAAAAAAGGGAGCTGCAAAGCCAAGGAAGGTGGCTGTCGGAGCCAGCCACGACGAGGAATGGGTGCCGTCGAAGATGGGGGAGGCGGAGCTCAACGGAATGGTAGCGGCGGGCGTTCTTCTAGACCACATCACCGCCGGATGGCGGCCAGCCAGCGGTGAGCCCTTCCTGACACCTCACACTGATGAAGCTGTAGTGTTTGAGGATTATTTCTGGCGAGGATTGGGGTTTCCTGTTCACCCTTTCCTAAGGGATCTGCTGGAGTTTTGGGCAATTAGCCTATGCAATCTACACCCAAACACCATACTGCACGTCTCGGTCTTTATCCATTTCTATGAGGCATATCTGGGGATTCTTCCACACTTCAACCTCTTTAGACACCTGTTCTGGTTGAAGAAGAAGGGCGGCAGTGGTTCCATGGTGGTCGGCGGTGTATATCTACAGCTAAGGGATGGGATGGCCATCGAGTACATCAATGTACCGCTAAACACTTCTCTAAAAGGATGGAATGCCAGGTGGTTCTACATTAAGCAGAGCCACCTTGTAATCTGGTGCGACGTCCACCACATCCTGGAGAGCTAGAGTAGCTAGTCAGAGAGACCAAACAACGCTGACATGGAGCAAGTGAGGGAGCTCCTCAACTTGATTAAAGGCGTGGAGATTAGAGGTGAACTGGTGGCAGCAAGCTTCATAGTGCGCCGCGTCCAGCCCTGTAAAGAGAGGGCCCACCCGGGCTTTGACTACAAGGGTGATGACGATGGGACCCAGGAGAGTACGGAACGGCTGACGAAGAAAGAAGTAATAGATCGGGCCATAGAGCTATTTACTTCCAGCGCCTCATTCAGCTGGCCAAGGCAAACGAGGGCCTTCAACTGTACGAACCCGCCTCCTCAGGTAACCATCTCAATTTGCTTTGCTCATGTTGCTATGCATCCTTGATGGTTGCCGAGCAGGGGACTGCCTGACTTATGCAAAGATCCATTCATAGGAAAGAGTGGTGTATTTCTCAAGCGTGCTGAGAGGTGACTGGCCGAGGGGAGTAGAGCTCGGCTACCAACTCAACCTGAAGAGGATGATGCCAGCGCCTCATCGGAATCCAGAGGCATGGATGCTGGTCGGACGGAGAGTCT